TGATGATGATGATGATGATGATGATGATGATGATGATGAGGAGGAGGAGGAGGAGGAGGAGGAGGAGGAGGAGGAGGAGGAGGAGGAGGAGGAAAGGGAGGGAGGGCGGGAGGGAGGCAGTGAGGGGGAGAAGGGACCATTGTAAGCCCAAGAGCAATCGACGATGATGTACCAATTCCTCCCTCTAAGTTTCCTCTCCATAGGCTCCTAGAAGGATTCATTATTTGCTGCGGGAAGAGTCCCGCTAGCAGACAACCGTCTGAAACACTTCATCCGTGCCCAAGCACCGTTCCTGTGACTCCAACGCTGGACATTAATGCTAATGTTGCGACCAGACGATCTGACATCGTGCCAGAACACCATTTCTGAAACGTCAGCACACACCGCGAATACACGTGACTGTCGCGCCCTGTCAATCCGATACCGTTCCAAATCACCATTTCTGTGAAGTTAGCCATGAGAACCCTTGAAACGGCTGCGAACTCTTAGAACGAATGTGCGCGGCGCTACGGCGAGAGTCACATTTTGAGGAGGAATCGTCCTCCATCCGTAGAATTTATTGCAAACTTGTCAGCCGGATGTGCGCGAGGCGAGAGACAAATGTTGAATACCACCCGCTTGCCGTCCGTGATGCTCTTGCAAATTGTTAAGACGAGTGCGCCCGGCGTTATGGCGAGAGCCACATTTTGAAAGCGGCCCGGAATCCATCCGTGAAGTTCTTGCAAGCATCAAGCTTCAGGATCATACATGGTAAGGGAGTCTCAGGCGAAACGTCTGGCCCGGTCTACCGACACGTCTCGGGGTGCGGCAGGCAGGAGTTTTTTGCAAGACTGAGGGATGGAGGAGGAGGGGAGGAGGGAGGGAGCGAGGGAGATGGAGGAGGAAGGAGGGAGGGAGGAACGGGAGGAGAAAGGAGGAGGGGGAGAGGAGGAGGAGGAGGAGGAGGGGCGGAGGCAGGAGGAGGAGGAGAGGCGGAGAGAGAGGAAGAGGAGAGGAGGAGGAGGAGGAGGGGGGGGGAGAGGAGGGTGAGGGGGAGGGGAGGGGGAGGGGATTAGAGTTATGAGGAGGAGAGGAGGAGGAGGAGGGGAGGAGGAGGAGGGAGGAGAGAGGAGAAAGAGAAGAGAAAGAGAAGAGGGGAAAGAGAAGAGAGCGAAGGAAGAGAGGATGAGGTGGAGGAGAGGAGGAGTGAGGAGGGCGGACAGAGGAGGTGGAGGAGGTTGGAGGAGGGCGGAAGAGGAGGAGGAGAGGAGGCGGGAGGTAGGGATGCAGGAGGACGGCATGCAGGAGGAGGGATGGAGCGGAGGGAGGGCCGGAGGGAGGAGGAGGAGAAGGAGGAGGAGGCGGAGGAAGAGGAACGAGAGGATATGGACGCCTCACGCCTGTGCGCGCCTGCAGCTTGCCAGGTCGAGCGCCCCCAGGGCCCTCGAGCCGGACGGAGGAGGAGGAGGAGGAGGAGGAGGAGGAGGAGGAGGAGGAGGAGGAGGAGGAAGAGGAGGATAGGGAGGAGGAGGAGGAGGGATGCAGGAGGGGGGAGGGAGGGTGGGAGGGAAGGAGGGACGGACCTCCCTCCCTCCCTCCGCCGAGGCTTACTTCACCCTGCTACGGACCTTCGCGCAAGGATGCGTCACCCACCACCTGCGAGCCAATCTGCAGGGCAACTGGGTGGAACAGCTCGACGCGGTGGTGTTTTCGGCCCTAGAACACCTCCTGCGCGGAAGTCACTTGGACGAGCTCCAGAGTCTGCAGGCCACCATGCGCCTCGCAGACGGAAGTTGCGCCATTCCCTCCGCTGCCCAGACCACACGGGCAGCCTACGCAGCGAGCTGGGAGCTCTGCCTCCACGACGTGGCGAAGTGCCTGGACGTGAGCACGCTGGAGGGGTTCCGGACGCGGTGCCCGCGGACCCTCCAAGCGCTCGCACAAGTTGAGGAAGCGCTACAAGCCTCGGGGTCGACAGACGGACAGCCCATCGACTGGGCCCGCAGGCTTCAGGAATCCCACGCTAAGCTCCAGGGCGGTTGGAGCAAGGCAGCCTCCGGGAAAGACTGCTGCGGGAGCTCCCTGAGATAGACCGGCTGGCGCTCCGGGAGTGCGGCGGCGTTGGCGCAGAGGCGTTTCTCCAACCTCGACAACCAGGAGACCCTTGGCAGCCAGACGACCATTTCGAGGTGAACATCATGTGCCACCTGCGAGCGCCAGTCTGCTCCGCCGGGTCGCGCTGCCAACACCGACGACAAGACGGCACGCTGTGCGGAGAGCCCTTCGACCCACACGGCTTCCATGCCAAGTCATGCGAGGTGGGCCAATCCCGCGCCGCCCGGCATGACCGCCTCTGTGACCGACATGCATCCATGCATAAGGATATCACGGGTCATGCTGCTTCGACGGAACAACACGTTCCAGCGTGGGATCGCCGCCATCCCCGCGCAGGGGTCCTCCAGGAAGCAAGGTTGGACATCCGGACACACGACCCCAGCACCGGTCAACCCATCTTTGCCGACTGGGCGGTGTACACTCCACCTACGCCCCACGCACGCGCGCCCGATCCGAACGAGATGGACTCGCAGCAGCCCAGACGCTCGACGACAAACGCGGTCGGTATCCCCCTGGGAGGGCTTAGACCTCGTCCCGATGGTCTTCGAGACCGGGGGGCGGCCGTCCGACGAGGCCGTGAGCTTCGTTCGGAGCTACGGTGCCTCTCTTGAGGATGCCGACTGGTCCGAGCTTCTAAGCCAGATTTGGCGGGACATCTCACGCACCTACACCCTACACAAAAGGAGTACGGAGATGATCCTGAGCGCCTTGGGGAGATAGGCGCCGACCACCACCACCACGTGACCAACCACCAGCCCGACCACTACCAGCCCGGCCTGCTTCCAGGACCACCGCCGCCAGCACGGCCACCACAGTCGCCAGCTGACTGACTACCAGTATCACCACCACCAGCACGACCACCACAGCAGTACCACAACTACCAGCCACCACGACCACCACCATCACGGCCACCACGACCACCACTAGCACGACCACCACGACCACTTCGATCACCACCGACACGACCACCGCGACCGCGCCGACGACCTCCTCCGCCCCCCGTCCCCCTCTCCCTTCCCCCTCCCCCCCCTTCCCTGCCGGGCCGCCCCTGCCGCTGCGCCTTTTGCGCGGCCGTCCCCTCCTCCTCCCCCTCCTTCTTTTCCCAGTATGTAATTAATTGATCATTCATGTGGGGCCCCTCGCCGAATGCGGCGGGCGCGACGGAGCGATCGGATCGACCATTCCGGCCGCCCCAGGGCCCCAAGGGCCACGCTCGCGGGTGCCGGTCCCTTGTGGGAGTCCTTAGGGCCGTGGAGAAGGGAGGGAGGGAGGGAGGGGGGGAGGGAGGGAGGGAGGAGGATGAGGAGGAGGAGGAACGCAGAGGATCTGACGCCTCACGCTTGTGCGCGCCTGCAGCTTGCCACGTCGAGCGCACCCAGGGCCCTCGAGGCGGACGGAGGAGGAGGAAGAGGAGGAGGAGCAGGAGGAGGAGGAGGAGGAGGAGGAGGAGAAGGACGAGGACCAGGACGAGGACGAGGACGAGGATGAGGACGAGGAAGAGGAGGATAGGAGGAGGAAAGAAGAGGAGGAGGAGGAGGATGAGGAAGGAGTGAGGAGGAGAGGCAGGAGGAGGATAAGAGGGAGGCCAGGGACGGAGTGAGGGCTGCAGGAGGAGAGGGATGCAGGAGGAGGGAGGAGGGAGGGAGGGAGGCAGGGAGGCAGGGAGCAGGGAGGAGGCAGGGGAGGCAGGAGGCAGGGAGGCAGGGAGGCAGGGATGCAGGGAGGGAGGGAGGAAGGAGGGAAGGAGGCGAGAGGAGGAGGGAAGGAGGAGGAGGAGAGGTGGAGGTAGGAGCGGGAGGAGGAACGCCGAGGATCGGACGCTCCGCCTGTGCGCGCCTGCAGCTTGCCAGTTCGGGCGCCCCCAGGGCCCTCGAGGCGGATGGAGGAGGAGGAGGAGGAGGAGGAGGAGGAGGAGGAACAGGAGGAGGAACAGGAGGAGGAGGAGGAGGAGGAGGAGGAGGAGGAGGAGGAGGAGGGGGGAAGAGGAGGATGGGGAGGGGATGATGATGATGATGATGATGATGATGATGATGATGATGATGATGATGATGATGCTGATGATGATGATGATGATGATAGTGATAGTGATGATGATGATGATGATGATGATGATGATGCTGATGCTGATGCTGATGATGATGATGATAGTGATGATGATGATGATGCTGATGATGATGATGATGCTGATGCTGATGATGATGATGATGCTGATGATGATGATGATGATGATGATGATGATGATGATGATGATGATGATGATGAGGAGGAGGAGGAGGAGGAGGAAAAGGAGAAAGAGGAGGAGGAGGACGAGGAGGAGGAGGAGGACCAGGGTGTACCCAACACTCATCAACGATATTGCAATCAACCCTCCCTCCGATCTCACTCTTCATCTGCCCCTACAAAGATTCGTTTTCACTGAAGGATGTGCCCCGGTGGGCGGCAACCGTTTGAAAATCTTGAGTTGTGCCAAAACGCCGCTCCTGGGCTTTCAGCGCCGCGAGTCACGGTCACTGTTGCGTCTTGGCGATCCTGAATCGCGCCAGAACGCAGCTCTTGATATTTCAACACCGCGAATCAACGTACAGTAGCTGCTGCGCCCTGACAGTCCGACATCATGCCAAAACACGATTCCTGGGACGTTAACCATGAGATCCCTTGAAACGGCTGTAAGCTCTTAGAACGAATGTGCGCGGCGCTA